TGCTCCTCCCCCTCCTCCCCCTCCTCCCCCTCCTCCTCCACCTGCACGTCGGCGACAAGCCGACCGGGTTCAGCCCTGTCCTGGCCCCGCCCGCTGGCCTCCGCCGACGGCATTCCCGGGGGCGCGCCGGGCGGCGGCGCGGGAGGGCCGACTCGCGCCGGTGCGGCGATGGCCAGGCGCCCCTCGACCTCCGCGAAGATGGCGCCCACCTCGGCCTCCGCCAGCTCGGCCAGCTGCGCGGCAGCGGCATCGCTGCGCGCCCTCGCGCCGGCTTCCGGCCGCTCGGCCAGCTTCGCCGCGGCAGCCGCGCTGCGCGCCCTCGCGTAGGCCTCTGTGACGAGACACAGAAAGCTATGAGCATGTAATCGGCCTCGCTGCGGCCCTGCACGCCACTGACACACATTTATATGTGCATACATGTTTACTCACATATGTACATACATGCACATCTATATACATCCATCCATCCATCCATCCATCCATCCATCCATCCATCCATCCATCCATCCATCCACACATACATACATACATTCACACATACACATACATACGTGCAACCATACATGCATACACACGTGTATACATCCGAACACATACATGCATACATATGTACATCCATGCACACAGGCATACTTACATACATACACACATACATGCAACCATATATACACATTCACACATACATACGAATGTACATACATACATACATACATACATACATACATATGTACACACATACATACATACATACACACATACATGCATGCATGTTTGCATACATATGCCCCAGCCATGCATGTCTACATGCATGCATGTGTGCATGCATGCATGCATACATGCATACATACATACAACCACACATGCATGCATACATACACACATGCATGCATGCATGCATATATACATGCATACACACATACACATGCATACATACATGCATACATACATGCACACATGTACACACGCATGCATACACACGCTTACATACATACATACGTAGATACACACATACATACATACACACATACATGCACACCTACGGACATACACACATGCATACAGCCATGCATGCATTCATGCATGTATACACACGTACACATACACATACATACATACATCCGCACGTACTCATGCATGTATGCATATTTACAGATACCTGTACATATACACATGTACATACGCATGCCCGCACGTACATACACCCGCACGTACATTCATACACATATATACATGTACACACACGTACTCATACACGTATGCATATATACATGTCCACATGCATGCATACATACATACACACATACATACATGCACACATGCGTGTAAGCGTACACACATGTATGCATCCATACACACATGCATGCATGCCTGCATACATGAATGCATACACACACACACACACCTACGCACATACATACATACATACATATTTACACACAAACATACAAACATACACCCATACACACATCCATACACATGCACACATATACATGCTCATATATATATATATATACACATATATATACGTACATACATATATATATGTAGTTCAATACCGACACCTGTATACATGACTTGATGTATACACATGCAGCTAGGCATCTTTAGACGTATCGAGACATGCATCCATACATACATGAAGGGGAGGAGGGGAAGGAGGAGGAGCCCACGGCCAAATGATCACGACTCGCCCCGGCTGAAGACACAATGACAATCTAAAGGTTGCCAGGCAGACTGGGAACCCCACAGGAGCCGACCTGCAATAAGCAAACTCATGCAGTGAACCGTGGTCATGGAAGGACAGCTTTTTGTTCCCTACCTAGGCTCTGCCCAGAAGGAGTCTTACTGTTTGGCTTAAAGGGCCGGGCAGTGCTAACCGCCCCAGGCGGTTCCCCCGGTCCCCTGGGAGCCAAGCAAAAGCAACAGCAAAGGTAAAAGCAAACGCGCGGTTCCCCCAGTTGCGCTCCCTGGGTGCCAAGCAAAAGCAAAAGCAAAGGCCAAAGTGAAGGCAAAAACGAAGGCAAAGCAAAAGCATAGCATAGCATAGCATAGCGCAGCATAGCATAGCGCAGCATAGCATAGCATAGCATAGCTAATAGCTTAGCCCAGCATAGCATTGAGCAGCTTCGCGTAGCATAGCATAGCATAGCATAGCATAGCAGAGCATAGCGTAGCGGCGACTTGATGCCTGCTTCTGCTGCTGCTTCACTTACGGCGTGGCGTCGGCGGTTCTGGCGCTACTACTACTACTACTACTACTACTAATGCTGCTACTACTACTACTACCACTACTACTACTACTAGTACTGGTACTAGTACTACTACTACTACTACTACTACTACTACTACTACTACTACTACTACTACTACTACTACTACTACTACTCCCACTACTACTACTACTACTACTACTACTACTACTACTACTACTACTACTACTACTACTACTACTACTACTACTACTACTACTACTACTACTACTACTACTACTACTACTACTACTACTACTACTACTACTACTACTACTACTACTACTACTACTACAACTACTACCACTACTACTATTACTTCTACTACTACTACTACTACTACTACTACTGCTACTGCTACTGCTACTGCTACTGCTACTGCTACTGCTACAACTACGACGATGAGGAGAAGGAGGAGGACGGCGTTTACCGCTCCTACTAATGTTGCTTTCCTAGAGGCTCCAACTCCTAGGTAGGGTCGCACTGAGAAAATTTTTCTCCGCGGATGAACAGAGCCGAATACTTCCCCGCCGCGTGGCCGATCAGCGTTGCGCACTGGACTCGGGCAGGAGGGGGGCATTAAACACATGTGACCCGAATTCGCATCATAGTGAAGCGAGTGGTTGCCCCAAATCAAAGGAGGTTACACGCAGTGACAATGTCACGAAATTCGGCCCACACATGCGAACGCAAGCGGAGGAGGAGGCGGAGGATGAGGAGGAGGGGGAGGAGGAGGAGGAGGAATAGGGGAGAAGGGAGAAGAGCTCGCGCGTGCGCCAACCAACCTTTGGCTGGTGTTCGCACAAGGTCCCACAGGAGCAATCTAGAAGGACAGGGACAGCGAGGGCAATGAACAGTTGTATTGTCTGTGGCAGGGCGTACGCTGCGATGCCTCCCCGAGCCCTGCCGAGCAGGGGCGGGAAAGAAATTGTGCTCACGTCCGTCGGCGCAGTCGAAGTTTGCCTCTACCTTCGGGGAGGGTGGCGGTGCACCAAATCACTGGCTCTCCATGGCGATCCATGCACCGTCACCATGCCCTCAGGCCATGCAGCAATCAATCCATTGGAGGGTGCCTGTGCCTGTATATCTGTGTGGCGGACAAGAAGTGCCGATACCGCTGCTCCCGGACCTCTCCCGGGGTGCTCTCTGGCACGGATTTCGAAGCGAGTCTGGCCGTGGCGGCGAGGGTCGTGGCCGCGAGGGCCTCCCCCGAGGTCCCAGGAGGGCAAACACGAGGGAAGGGAAGGGCAGCGGCATCGGTACTCCAGATTTCGTAATAAAGGCAGGGGGGTCTCATTTCGGGGGGGGTCTCTTCCAGGCTATCTTGGAGGGCCTGGGGGGGTCTGGGGACGATGTTTTGGAGGGTTCTCATGGGGGAGGTCTGAAATGGCTTGTCTTGGAGGGTCCAGACCCCCTCCCTTTTATTACGAAGTCTGGAGTACCTGTCCCTCCTCTGAGCCTTCGCCAGCTCGGCCAGCGCCGCCGCAGCGGCCGCGCTGCGCGCCCTCGCGGCGATCGCGAGGCGCAGCTCGGAGGCCTCCGCGTCGCGGCTGCGCAGCTGCTCCAGCGCCGCGGCGCGAGCCGCCTGCGCCCGCGCCTCGCGCTGCCTCGCCGCGTCGAGCCGCCGCGACACCTCGGGGGGAGACAGGGAGGATACTTTAGATTTCGTAATAAAGGGAGGGGGGTCTCATTTCGGGGGGGGGTCTCTTCCAGGCCATCTTGGAGGGCCTGGGTGGGTCTGGGAACGATGTTTTGGAGGGTTCTCCCACGGGGGGGGATCTGAAATGGCTTGTCTTGGAGGGTCCAGACCCCCTCCCTTTTATTACGAAACCTGGAGTATTGAGAAATACCGCCCGCAACTCCCCAGATCTCTCCTGGGGCGCGGCCGCCAGCACAGCCGCCACAGCCGCTGCAGCCGCCGCAGCCGCTGCCGCCGCTGCAGCCGCTGCAGCCGCCACGACTATCGCCGAAGAGAACCCAGCCGTGCGGACGAGGTCCCTCCAGGACAAGCCAAGGCATCCCCCCCCTCTCCAGATCCCAAACGTCGTGATGTGTTGCATGACGTAGGCGCGTGGAGGTCTCCACCCATTTTCCGGGACCAACTTTCCATCCAGAATTGTTTTTTCTGTAAGTCCTGGGCCCCGTTGAGGGCCCCCAGAGGCCGAACACTGTCCAAAGCCTCCCGTCGTGCTTTTTTCATGATGCGAGGAGGCCTGGGCCCAAGAAGGGGTCCCAACAGCGTGTGGTGACGGACCCGGCGGTGACCTCGAAATCTCCAAAGCCCTCGCCGCAGTGTCCGTCACCACACGGTTTGTGGTGGGACTTTTTGGAGGCCCCCGTCGCCCGAGACATCCTTGGAGAACGACCCACGTCCCAAACCTTCGGGTGACCCCGAATCCTCACCGACTCCATGAATTTGGCGGGCGGTCGCCAAAACCATGGATCGGGGGAGGTCACCACCCCAGGGCCCCCTCCGGACCTCCTCGCGGGCGGCGTCCCACCCCGCACAGGCGGCCGCCGCCTCCCGGACGAGCGGCAGGCGCAGCGGCGGCACGAGGCGCTCGGCGGCCTCCCTGCCGCCGCCTGGCGACGACCACGGCGACGACGAGGATCGCACGACGAAGACGACGGCGACGGCGGCGACGACGATGACGATGACGGCGACGACGGCGACGGCGACGACGACGAAGACGACGGCGACGACGAGGACGCACGACGACGAGAAGGGAAGAGGAGGAGAAGGGCAACGATTGAGAGGAAATATGGATGAGGAGAAGGGAGAAGGCAGGGAAAGGGAGAAGGAATAAACAATGAGACAAAACAGATAGAGGAGGAGAGTGAAAAAGGACAAAAAAAATATCCCGGCAAAGCAACCTAACAGCGATGTGTAAAAACATAGCTGGAAGCATTGCCTATGACATTCATGTAGGAGTGCTGGTGTAGATTTTTTTGTTCTCGCAGTCGCATTCGGATTCGCAGTGGTAGTCGCAGGGGCAACATCAGTCCCAGTCGCAGTCGCAATGGCATTGCCAGTAGTTGCAGTAGCAATCCCTACAGGAGCAGCAGCAGCAGCAGCAACAGCAACAGTAGTAGTAGCAGTAAAAGTAGCAGTGACGGTAGTGGGTGCAGTGAAGTAGTAGTTGTAGTACCAACTACGCACTGTCCTCCATGGGTGTAGATTCGAAGGATCATTTGCTTTCGATAATTGCATGTCGAAACGAGACCCCGCTAGCAGTGGACATAGGTCCGAACGAGACACTGGTATCAACGGATGTAGCTCCAAACGAGACACCGTTTTCAATGGATGCACGATGGAACGACCAACTGCTTTCGGTAAGTGTGTCTTCACACGAAAGGCTTCTATCAATGGATTCAGGTCCAAACGAGACACTGCTATCAATGGGTGCACGTCCAAACGAAACAGTTCCATGAATGATTTTAGTCTGGAGCGAGACACTGCTATCAATACTGGAGTTGTGTGCAAACGAGACACTGCCGCTTCAGGGGCTCGCCGGCAGCCGCAGCAGCACCTTGGGCACGCTTTTCCGCACCCACTGTAGCACGTTAGCCTTGAGCGCAAACAAAAATTGCGCGCAGGTGCTCTCAAGGGGAATGGCAGGCTGAGAAGCACTGCAGGCCACAGAGAGTAATCTTGCACAGGCGTCCACAACAGCGGCTGCTGCGGGCTGAGAAGCACCGCAGGCGAACGCAAATCAGCGGAGGCTGGAAAACGAGATGCTTGAAGCAAACATCGCTGGCAGCCCGCAAGGCGAATGCGAATTCACCGAGCAAGCAGCGAAGAAGCGGGCGGCACGTGATGTGTAGCAAGCTGAGAAGCATCGCTGACAAGACATCAACAACTCATTTCAAGCTTTCTCCTGACGGGTGGCCTTCGAGGATTCTGCGCTTCTTGGCGGAGTCGGGCGTTTTGCTCCACTCATTCATCCGCTTGTGGTCGCCAGATCGCTGGAGCTCTGTGCGCGCCCCCAGTGTTCTCAATTTTTTGATGAAGTACTGCGCCTCTGTCACTGCGGCCTCGTCAATGTGAGTTACGCTGTGCGCCGCGATGCCATCTTTTGAACAGCCTGTAATGAGCAACAAGCAGACTCTATGCTTCGCTCTGTTGGGCGGGTCCATTTTGAAGGAGAGCAACTTGTCTACGGAGCAATGCCCGTGAATCGTCACTGCGTGTGAGTTCTCATCGCCAGATGCGTCCGTGACACCTGGTGTAGACACGACGAAGCCACCCGCAGTGGACACGCACCGCGACTTCTGCGTGGCGCGAACAAGAACCAGTGCCAAGCGGCAGCTCCGGGCAAGCTGAGAAGCGCCGCCCCCGTTGCCCGCCGGGGGGTACTCCACCCGCATGCCGTAGAAGGGGCAGTGACGTATCTCAGAAAGGTGTGCGGCGAGCATAGCATACTGGCTCTCGCGGCGCTGCTTCAGGATCTCCAAGACGACATGGTAAGAGGCATTGGGGCGTGCGATATCTGGAGCGGAGATGCTGCAACCACAATCGTGATGATAAACGTCCGCTCAGGCGTGTCATCGCCTGCGCTCGCAGCCGCGTGGCGCGCGCGGCGTATTATGCGGCAGTTGCTCAAAGGAGGGAAGGAGATAGCTCTCTCATCGTGGACCTTCTGGAACTCGGACATGGTATCAATACCAGTCAAGGCGACGGCCGCCGCCTGGGACACAGCAACTTTGCAGGGGCCGCTGAAATCGCGGGCAGTAGTGGTGAAGAATGCGCGCTCGCCTTTGATTTCCACGACAGAGTCGGCGGGCTCTGGCTCCTCGAGCCTCATCCCATTCACCTGCAACAAGTGTGGTAAGGTTGCGGTTGGGTCTTCCGATGCCATCGCCAGAAAGGCACAGCAGGACAGGAGCGCGTCTCCGGTGAGAATTTGTGAAGCGTGGTCTGGGTCCCATGTGGTCGTATGGGCGGTAGTCAGTTGCTCCCGGTCCTTCGCGAAGTCGTCGCGCACCGCTAGCTCGTTGAGCTGGGTCAATCTTGGACAAGAGCATGCGTAATCCACCACGCGATCCTGTGAGAGGTTCAGCTCCAATGTGCCCTCGAATTTGGCCGCTACGTTGAGCAACAGCAGCGGTTGTCCTTTGTGAGACCGACAAAGCTCGATGTTGTCTGTTCCCCAGACAGCAACCACAGCCTCCGCTGTCTTGGAGTTGGTCGTCTGGGTGCCGTCCACCAGGTGCACGCTTGCAACTGGAGGGTGGCCCACGGGAGTGCGCGTGTCTGAAACGGCATGAACCACAGCCATGACGTCGAAGCAGCGACGCGACTTGATGTTCATCATGTCAGCCGCAGTAGTCTGCGGAGTCGGCGCCGATGCCAAGGATATCTCCTCCTGAGAGCTCTTGAGGACAGGAGTGCGCAGCGTGCGCTTGAGATCGACCACGACGCGAACAGACGTGTGCACAAAAGCGTCCTGCTGCTGGCTGTCCAGGCCGACCTTGGATAGTTTCCACGCTGTGAGCGGGGGGAATTTCTTGCGAGCAGCTTCCACTTCTGCTGCGCTTCCTTTGAGGATCGCCTCGCAATAGTGGTCTGAGTCCGTGCCAAGCAGAATGCACGTGAAACGTATTGCATCGATCTGCTGGTTATTGCGCTTGCTCTTGTACGAGTACTTGATCTCCCTTGGCTTGTACACTCGCACTAGGAAATCTTGAGTTTTGGCGCTGCTCTTCGTGAGACTACCCAGTGGGGACGTCGGCTGGTCTGCGGCAGAAGCCATGGTAGCCCACCTGACACAGGCTGAGTAGCACCGTGCAGGGCACAGTGACACAGGCTGAGTAGCACCGTGCAGGGCACGATGGACGCAGGGCGTGTAGCACCGTGCAGCGCAAGGTGACACTGGGTGAGCAAGACCGCACAGGGGACGGTGGCGCGTCCGATAGCAAACGTGTATCACAAGGCGGCTTTTTGAACCAGCATGGCAATGGTCAGAAGATCTTGGGAGCTTGCATGTGGCGTCGATCGGGAGGAAATGGATATCACGATTGTAAAAGTTTCAAATCGCGATTTTGGTTTTCGAACTTTGGCCGAACCGAAGAAAGTTTTAAATCGCGACTTAAAACTGCCGGCCCGTCCAGAAAAAAACAACCAAGGTAAAAAGCTTCAAATCTAGATTTCAACCCTCCAGCGCCCGGAGTGGCATTGGTGGTTGCAGTGGAAGTGGTGGAAGTCGTGGTAGTGGTCTTCATAATAATAACAATACTTGTAGTGCTGGTAGTATTAGTAATTAGCCGGTACTCGTAGTACCCGTCATAGTACTCGTATTGCATGTATGATTAGTAGTAATAGTAGTAGTAGTCGTAATAGTAGTAGTAGTAGTAGTAGTAATAATAGAAGAAGTAGTAGTAGTAGTAGTAGTAGCAAAAATAATATTAGTAGTAGTAGTAGTAGTAGTAGTAGTAGTAGTCGTAGTAGTAGTAGTAGTAGTAGTAGTAGTAGTAGTAGTAGTGGTAGTAGTAGTAGTAGTAGTAGTGGTAAGTAGTAAGTAGTATATTAGTATTCGGCAGTAGTATAGGTAGTAGGTA